CTCTGTCTCTCCCTTCTGTCTCTCTCCTTTCTCCTCCCTGTCTCTCTTTCTCTCCCCTTTGTCTCTTCTCTTCCTTCTCCCCTGTATCTGTCTCTTCTCAGTATATGTTTACAACCCAGTCCTCAGCCAAGTGTTTTGTTTTTTTCCCCCTTATCAAAGAAACAAATCTGTGGATTATTAACATAGGGTTCACTCTTAGTGTTTCTGTGCCAGACACCCCCAGGCTGGGTCCTGGGGGTGCAAACACAAAACCAAGACACACTCTGCCCTGAAGAAGCTTATATTTTCCTGGGGTAGGGGGGGCTCAGAAGGGGGGAGATCAGCAAATGCAAATATAAGCAAAATAAGTACAAACAAAATAAAGTACAAAGGCCCCTTGAAGGAGGGCTCCCAGGGCCACGATGAGGAGACTGCCCTTTCAGGCCAGGGCTGCCTGGCTGCCCAAGGCCCAGCAGATGCTATTGGAGGGTGCTGAGTTCTGGACCATCCAGCAGGCCAGGAGGGGTTGAAGGGAGTGATACCTCATAGGCCCCCTGGGAAGGGAGGTTCAGCCTAGACCTTAAAGGCTTAAAAACACGGCCGCTCTGATGGCTCAGTAGACAGAGCACCAGGCCTGCAGTCAGGAAGGCCTGAGTTCCAATCCAGCATCAGACACACTACTTGTGTGACCCTGGTCACCCCTGCCTCAGTTTCCTCAGCTGTAAAATGAGAATAATAGCACCTCCCTCCCAGGGCTGTTGTGAGTCCGTAGTTGGTGTTTATTCCGGAGGCACTAGGGAGCTTCCCGAGTAGGGCAGGGAACGACGTGGTCATGCCTGGGCTTTACAAATATAGTCCAGCAGACGAGTGAAGGCTGGACTGGAGAGGTCAGAGGTCAGGCAGAGAGACCCAGCAGTCCAGTGCAAGGCCCTAAGGCCTGAGAGTCGTGTGAGGGGGGTGAGATGCAGAAGAGTGAGATGGGGTGACCTGGGCTTTCGGGAGAATCCTTGCTCTCATCCCTGATAGCCAAAGGCTGCCTTTGGTGACTCAGTATTGAGCTGCAGCCACTGTCTCAGGGCGGTGTCTTCTCCCCTCCTGCCCCCATCTGACGTGGGGTGACGCAGAACCCTCCCAACAGTCCTGCTTCCAAGCTGCTCAAAGCCACTGTCCCGTGGCCCACGTCCAGAAAGCCCCCACCCCGATCCAGCCCATCCCCCAGCTCTGCCTCCTCTTCCTCCTTCTGCAGCCTTCTCTGTTCTCGTCACCTTTGCTTCTATTTCTTCCTCTCGCTCCCTGTCTTTGCAGCCTCCATTTGGTTATATTTTATTAGTTTAAAAATCATCTGCTGTGTCCTTTACCTCTAAAGGTTCTCAGAAATCTGTGATTTCATGAGTTTGATAATCCCTCCACAGATACAGGTAACATCCCTCCTTTCACCCCAGACTTTAGTTAGACAGTGGCCATGAGTCAGTGGGGGTGAACACGTGGTCACCTGGTGCCCAACCTTGATTAATGAGCCTCTGGGCTGGAAACCAGAGGGCAGATCTGTCTCTATCCTGGGGATCTTTCCTTCTTGGTAGAATCTGCAGGGATTCTGTATAGCCAGATCACACGCCAGTCCCTTTGTAGGAAAGGGCCATTGGGCAGCAGCCACAAGGAAGATGGCGTGGGAGTAGGGAATAATTAGAAAAGGACAACTGAATGGTTGAGGGGAAAAGTGGACCCCTCCCCCACACCCCCCAGGGAGGACTGACCGCCAAGTAGGCCGCAGGTGGAGGAGAGGCTCCATGGTCCAAGTCTGCCGAAGCGTGTGACACGTGTTCAGGGAAAGCACAGTAACGTTCCCCAGATCTTGACTGCTCTGTCCCTGATATGTTTGGGACCA